AGTGATTGGCAAACACGGTGGGGCCATTTGTCCACCTTTCCCATCTAATGGCCGCAATGCTTTTTGGCTAATGGCTGAATGGGCCTTTCGACGCCTTTTCGTGCCATGATTGCAAGTGGCCGATAAGAGCTTTTGACTCATAAATCGTGATAATTATCTCAGCACAAGTGCAGCGAAGCTGAGTTCACCTTAAGTCCCAAACATTTTCATGCTTTTCGTGTGGCTTATTAAATTATTAAGTGAACCGCTACACGAAAAGATTTTGCAGGTAGCTTACACAATTCTGATTCGCGATTAGATAAAAGTTGCCAGCCTTTTTGGCACTCGAGCGAAACAAGTCGCTTAATTAAGAGCCGAAAGCTTAATGGCTGTGCGGAAATTCCATGATGTCATTAACTTTTGGGGCAACTAAAAATGTTGTATAATATTTGAGCATTTTAAGAAATTTATAATAAAAAGGTTCACCATTATTGGCGTTGAATTCTGATATTAATATAGTTCTGATCTTTATTTCGAAGTTTTGGAAAAATTTAATAAAAATTCATTAGCAATAAAAAAAAATGTATTTAAACCAAATGGCACTAAAATACGAAACTTGATGGAAATATAAAATATGAGAAATATTCATATTAGGCAAAAATATTTTGTTTTAGATTTTAAGTTTTCACCGTACCGAGTGCTCACAGTTTTTTGATATATTTAAAAATTAGATCAAAAACCCAATGTGTCAACACTTCATGGGGAATTTCACACGTACAAAGATTTCTGGTAAACAATTTCCTTTCCTTTCGCAACCAAAGTTCAAATCAAACATCCGCAGAGATGAAAGGGGAATGGAGTGGAGCTGCAGGGCCTAAGAACTTTTCACCTGGTGTGTGGTGCAGGTGACAATTTCAGTCAAACTTTTACGATGCTCGTTGGGCGGGTTCTACAATCTTTCGGGGAAGAAGGGAACGTTGGCTGGTACTTGAAAAATTAATGTACCCGGTCGGTGTTGGCAGCCGAACGCTTGACTTGTCCTCCAAGGTTCGGGAAAAATGCATAGACAAATGTCAAATATTTATTGAAAATAAACAAAACGGGCTAACAAACCAACAACTGACAAACAAGACGATGGACATGGGGTTGTCTCGGCGAGTTGCGTCAACAGATTTCCAAGAAAAGAAATAAAATGAGCGGGGCGGAGAGGGAGGATGGAGCACCAAACTGACCAGAACTGAAGATGTTTGGTCATGCATCGGTGCAGCGCAGCGTTAAAAGCCGGGAAAAGCAGTGGGAACCGAACGGGTTAAGATTGGATGGGCTGGACATGGACTCACGGATGGATGGATGGTCGGGTGCCAGACGGATGCTGAGTTCTTGTTGGGTCCCGTCAGTGGGTGCTTCAAAAGCTGCTGACCGATGGTGAGAAGAACACATGCTCAAGCAACTCTTTCTCTGCCGGCTACCGGCTTTTCCTGACGTCTTCAAGAGGCATCCCATCCAGGCCGAGTTCTTGGATCCATGTTCGAGTTGTATTCTAGAAAAATATTTATCCATACCCGGTCCGTCTGGGGACTGCCCGCCGATCGCCCATCGCGATGATGATGTTCATCATGGGACAATGTGGTCGATGACTCCGCTGGGTTATGCAAGTAATGCTTGATTTGGTATTGAAGACTGGTAGCTGCTGCCACTCAATGGAGTTCGTTGTTGCTCGGATGACTCACAACAACAAGCGCGATGTGTGGGTGATGCAATTAGGGGAAAATGGTGTTTGAGGTGCTATGTATGCAGTTTCCTTTTTCGGCGTGACTTGGGCTCATGGGAAGTGTATGATTTTTCACAACTTAATTGAGTAGAGTTTATTAAATAAATAACTTTTTGGCTTATGGGCAATAAATGACTTTGCAATTCTTTAAAAACTTTTGGAAAACTGTACTTTTTACGGCGTTCTTGGTAGAGGTGATACAACATCGATAGAAAAGGATAAGTGTATCAATGTTATAATAACTTTTGAAACATACATGAATCGATATTTTTATCGATGTTTCATTTCATTCCATCAGTTGAAATTATGGAACTTCTTTCTGGAACAAAATTGTCAATATATAAAATCGTTGTATTTATTGTTTAATAATAATTATTATTAAAATAATAATTTTTCAGCTACCCCATAAACATTTAATTCAGAAACATTTCAGGAATTCATGGCATACATAATTTTAATTTCAAAAAATGTATGAATATTCCCAGAAATTCCGGTCATTCTCTCTATCGCTGAATTTTTCTGTTAAATTTTTAAAGACGTAACAAAAACTATATCGGTTTTGGTATTTTCTTATCGATGAATCGGAGTTGTTTGCCATCCCTGCCTTAATTCTGTCACTAGAGATGGGAATATATCGATCCTGCCAAACATCTGAAAACATCGAAGTGCATCGGCTTTTGTTCCACCTCTATTATAAAAGTCAAAAAGTCGAGTCATTTAACTTTTCGTGTCATAATTTGTTTAAACCTAAAACGAATAGTTGGAAGTGCTGAATCAAGTGCATAAAAACTAATCCTGGGTAAGTACAATCCTTTATAGACACACACACATAACGTTCAGGGAAATTCTTCGGAGCACGTGCTCCTCCAGTTTAAAAGCATTTCTCTGCTCTGCATTTCCATTCCTATCGACATGGCGCACACGGTTAAGAAATATTTCCACTATTTTTGGACGGGCTGCTGGGGATTTGGCTATCTTTGCCCCATGGGGTCGGTCGCTCCCGGCCATTCTTGTTTTCCTTCTGGCCAATTATGCACACAAACAGACAGCTGGAGGCAAAAATTACAGAGGAACGAAACGAGGCATGGCATCTCCATCTCGTCCATTTCCAGCTGCTTATTAAGTCGTTGCAACTGCAACTGCAATCTAACTTCAAAGATGGCAATGGAAATTAACCAATTGCTGGGATAGACAAGCCGGCTGTTAAGGTAATCTCCAGTTAGTCAGCAATTGGAGTGCTTCCTGTCAGACCGAAATTCCGCTGTCCAATCAATTCTGCGCACTGTTTTGCATAACCAAATTGCCTTCAACTTGCATACAAATAATGATTTTCGGTAGCTCAAAAAATGCATATATTACTTCGCAAAGAGTAAACCAAAAGAGGACGGTGAGGAAAGCAAACTTTATGAGTTTTGACAGGCAGCTACCGAAAAAGAGAATGAAGGTTGGGAAAGTAATCAAAATTTCGGCCATAAATAGGCTTCACTGGAGCTGAAGACTCTTGACTTTGAGGACTTTTGGGAGCTCTTTTGGCAAACGGCTCAATTACAAAGAAAGGCGACAACGAAAAAGAGTTGAGGGTCCTGTATGGAAAAGCTTTTAAAATTAATTGAATTAAAAAAAAAAGCATTGAAAATAATTTACAATTTATCGAATTTAATAACAGGTAAAAGGCATGTAGAAGCAAAGAAATTTAATTAAAAATACTACATTTTTCGGGTAGCAAATCTTACATAATATAACTCCAAACACAGTTCCAATGTAACTTGTTTATCTTTACGGAAAGTATCATACACATTTCCAGTTTAAGAAATCAAATTAATTTGAACAAATCAATACAAATTTCGCTTTACCCACTACAACCGAGAAACTAATTCCCTCGGTCATCAATAATTGACACCAGACATGCCAGCCAATAATCATCTGAAAAATAGTTGCCAGAGTATCACTTTCACTTTGGGAAAACTAAGAAAACGAGGCTTACCAAAAAATTGATTTAAAGCGATCCAAACAAATGTCTTTGAGTCAAAGCGAAAAGCAAAAAAACACTGCTCTGGGCAAAGTTCAAGCATAAAGTGTTAAAAGCGTGAAAGAAAAACTTATCGACAGCTGTCAAAATCGCCCAACTCAAGAGGAAACCGGCAAATGGCATTTAAATGTTTTGACAAATGACAAATTTGCGGTAGCCGAAAAGCAGGAAAAAAATCGAGAGAGAAGTTAAATAACTGGCGACTCAAGGCTGGAGGTGGCCTTTTCAACGACTATTCGGAGGTATGTCTAGGCCTCTTAGCTCCCAATCCACCCCACTGATACCTCACAGCCTCTACAGAAATATATTCACGTTTTCCGGCGCTGACAGCTTAAGTGAGAAAAGTATTGCTGATTAAATGTTTTGACAAATTGAACGCGCCACGAAAAATGAAAATATTTATACACTATCAAAAGGACTTACAAAAGCAGAAATTGGCTCAAAATAATGTCTTTAAAATCGTAAAATAAAAATTTTAGAAATTTATTTCTGGGATGGTAATATAAATAACTTTAAGTTAAAAATTTGTAGGGCTGATTCATTGCTTTTTCATCGCTCACTTAGCCCATTGAAACTTCAGTTTCAAGTTTCCCAGGCCAAAAACTTTTCTCATTCGCCCAAAAGTTTGCTGTTGATCCTTCCCTATAACTTATATGCCATTTTGCTGCAATTACGTCAACATTTTTGTCTTGTTCGCCAAAGTTTTGTGTTGACAATTGCCAAAAAAGCTGGGCAGTCGAAAGGAAACAACTGCAAACAGCAGCAGACTGCAATTTGGAGCTACCAAACATGCAAATGGCATACCAGGTCAACATCTGCGCCCCAACTACAAGCGAAACTGAAACTGCAGGCTGCTGCTGTTTGTTGGTCAGCGATAAAGTTTATCTCGAAAGTTGCCCAGCTTTTTGGTTATCTGGGCTCCACCGTGAGATACTTGTACATTTTTCATGCAATCCACCCGGCCAGTCAAGTCAACCAATCAATAATTCTCATGGCACAAAGTTCAGAGCAATCCATAGCAGCTGCCCCCAGAGTAGGTGATTTATTGGCAATGTTGTCTTGAGGGCTTGTTCTCGACTTGTTTGGTTTAAGCAATTTAATTGATTGGCCTGGGAAAAACTGTCAGAATTTGAATAATGGAGCTCGGGAAGCTGATTTCAGCTACACTTGATTTGTTACAATCTTGGGTTAATCGTCTCATTAATCGATTTTTGATTTATCTCATTTTCAGTTGAATTCAAGACTTTGAAGAGTTGAATATATTTAATTCAAGGGTATCAAGGATATCTTGGTTGTGGAATATAAAGGTTTTTAAGAAGATTATTATATTTAAAAATTAAATAATATTAAATATATAATAGCTACCTTAGGTATATTAATTAGAAAAGGAAGTTGACGAAGATGGCCAGTTCAGACACCCCGCAAGCGAAGGATGCCCTGCTGATGACCTTCAAGAACCAGCTAAAAAACGATGTTCGCAGCATGTTGGTGAACTTTGAGGAAATCCTCAGGTTGGCTTCCCGTGAGAGTAATGGTCAAGTTCCCAAACCAACTCAATACGAAATGGATTCTCTGGAAATGCAGGTGCGGGCCGCCAATGTGGCTCGCGCTGCCGATTCGCTAATGAAGCTAACAAATGATCTCAAGGAAATCCACATTCTCAGCGATGTTGCAGAACTCGACGAGGAAGTCAGAAAGAATTTGGAACTTATAAAGGCCAAGCAAATCGAGTATGACGAGAAGATAAGCAAATTGGCCAAAGATATGGCCGATGAACTGTTTGAGCTGGAGGAGGAGTACTACGAGCGCGGCAGCCACAATTTCTAGTTGACTTGCCGATGGGCAGGACTTATACATTTAAATATATAATGTATCTTAAAAACAGCGTTGCTGAAGAACAATAAAATAACACCCAACTCCTGTTTTTAAATTAAGCTTCATATGTAAGCAATGCCCTTAGGTTGTTCAAGGAATAACAAAATAATTTGTTCTCTAAAAGGCAAATACGAAATTAAATTAGGTTTGACAGAACGGTAATATTACTACCAAATAAATGCATTATTTTAAATTTATTTTTTGCAAAGCTTTTTTTTTACGAACTTAAATTTACTTAAATATTGGCCTATTTTAATATTAACTTGATGTTTTTACTAAAGTCTTCATGTTTTAACCCCTTCCAGCCCTTCGATTGCTCAAGACTGATGACTTGTACTCGTTCAGTGGCTCCGGAGGCCTCTATCCTCCGCTCTTCAATGTGATTCCCCGGGCTCAGATCTCCGTGAATGCGACATGTGGCCAAAACGGAGCCGAGGAGTACTGCAAACAGGTCGGTGCCAAGCCATGTGGCATCTGCAATGCCCATTCCTCGGATCGGGCCAAACAGCGCTCCATACAGTCGCTGATTTCGACGGGTTCCGGATTTGAAGAAGGCTGGTGGCAATCACCAACTTTGCAGGGTGGCCGGCAGTTTGAGTATGTGACCATCTTATTGGATCTGCAGCAGGTAAGTCAAACTTAGACCTAATTGAGTCGCGTCCCATCTTACGGCGCTGTCATCTAACCCATCCAAAATTGTCGGGGCTAAGCTCTTGCGACAGACGAGCTGTGATCCAGTTTGTAATTAAGCCGCTGAGTTGTCACTCATTTACAAGCGATTTAACGCCAGCTCCATGATCCATCGCTGGACATGCTAGGCTCTGTCTCATTGGAACTTTGAAATATGATCTTCTTGGTGTCCGGAGTGGAACTGAAACCCGTTTCCTGCCCATTCAGTTCTAATGCTCGAAATGGCAAACATAAATTGGTTTTGATGGGGTTTTGATTAAGTCATATTGGTTTACATACCGAAACGTTAATATCTACTTTCTCTGACGAGGAAATGGAAAAACTTTCGTTAAGGTTGTTGATTTAAATATATATTTTCAAGAGATACATTTTCGTTTATTAAAGGTATATTAAAGGTATTATTAAAATATTATAAAAGTAAATACTATCATCCAATGAATCGTATAGTTTTAACAAACCCTTACATGGTATATTTTTTTTCGGTTACTAAAAATTACACAAACATTTTTGTCTTTGATGATTATACCAAATTTAAAAAAGTTGCCCAATTAAAATAGCATAGACCTCCCAGAAGGCGTCTGTTACCATATTTTATTTCACACTTGCCGCGGATCTTTAAATCTCGATTGGGTGCTAATCGTTCGCCGATAGTGTTAATTGGAATTTCAAAGTGCACTCGAGCACAAAATCCCATCAGATCCACACTTCTCCGATCGACCCTATTGGCCAATAATGTGCTAAAAACGAGAAAGGAATGAAACGGAAAATGGATATCATCTGTTTAGCATCAGCCGACACAAAGTTGACATTCAAGTGCGGCTTGCACTCGAATCTTCCAGCAGATATATCAATGTTTTGATATAATTTCCTCACTGCCTTATGCCATATATGGTTTATATACCATACACCATATGCCACGGGACTGGACCATTCCGGCACACAAAGATACTCTGGGCCCAGGCCATGGCAAAGGCATTGAGTGTGCACTTAATTAAAACGAGAAGCAGCCAAGAAGGAGGAGGAATATCCACAGACTGGAAGTGATTTAAAATTAAAAACATTGTTTTTGCATATGCCTTAAAGTATGAAAGATTTATGACAGCCATGCGTTGCTCTCGGAGTTTATTAATAAATTCCTGCACGTCTCTTTCATACAAAAGGGGGATCTTTGCACAGAAGTATTTAAATTGGGCTCTTCACTTAATTAATTCTGACATTACTTATTTCTAGTTGCCAAACTGAATCCAAATATAAATGGCAAACCTTTTATGGCATTTGCTTTACTCTATGTATATGTCAACCGCTTGGACGGTTTTTTCTTTTTTTTAATGCAATGGTGGCATGTACTACATTTTTGGTCAGACAACGACCACAAAATTTATAGGTTCCCATGATTTTCCCGATATGGACAAAGCGGATGCCGAGAGAACGAAGTCAAATGAGGGGCATGTGTCAAAATTTACACGCTCTCATTCCGTTGATTTGCTTGAGTGACAAAGAATATTCACAGCTTGTCAGGAATTTTTAAAAAACCATTTCCTTTTTGTTGTTTTGTTTAATGTTTTAGTTTTTTGCAAGACATTTTTTGAGAATTTTTAAAGTAAAAACGTTTTTAGGCCGGAGTTTTTTTTATGTAAAACATATATTTTAATTACATTTTTGAAATTATTTACTACTAGTTCATTACTCCTTAGCTTGTCCCAAAGTATTTTTGACAGCTGCTATCTGTCCCATTCAATAAACATCAACACAATAAATTCTCCCCCAAACAAGTTCACTAATTAGCTATCTCCACAATTAAGTGTGTTGTGTGATTTGGCTGTGAAAATATCTTATGCATTTGTCACAACTATTTAGAAAGACATTAGAAAGATCTCCCCCCTGTCTCTGTCTGTTGTTTCCCAATGCCAAGCCAACCGAAACAGAACACGATTTATGACCTCAGAGGGAACTTGACATTGACGTTGGTGTGTTTCTATCTGTCTCCCCATGGGCGACAAAATCTTTGGGACTTCCAGGCTTCAACGGGCTTCTCCCTCCACGGCGTGGATTTTAACAATTAGACTAATCGAGTGATTTACAACAACAAGAGCCTCGGAGGCAAGATAGAAACAACGACAGGCGTGTGTCAACGATTTGACAGCTTAAAATATTTCTTTCCGCGCTGGGAAAAAGGCGACAGACTCCGGCAGCAGTCCTAGCAGACCGGTCAGAACCATGGCCAGAGTTTGTCCGTATATGTGTCTCTTTGTCCGTCAGTCAGTCAGTTAGGCAGTCAGCCATCCAGTCTGTCAGTTTGCCAGTAAGCAGTCTGTCAGCCTGTCTGTTCGTACAACAATGTCTAGATTTATGCTTCAATGGCTTTGGGGCGCGCGTGACTAATTGAAAGTCTAGCGAGAATTCTACGGACAACTCAGTGGCTCCCAAACTGTGAGTGCAGTTCTGAAAATGAAAGCCATTTCTGTTGGAATAAATCAAAAGATAATAGTTTGACGGAGTTCAAGTAATTTTCTAAATTTAGTAAAAGGTAAAGAAAAAAAAAAAAAAGTTTTTAACTTTTATGGAATATTATTTGCCCCCAGAAAAATCGATCCCATCAAATAGTTGCTCACTATTGGCGGCAAACATCTAACCAGTCTTACAAATACGACTTTTTACAATTTGAAATGTTTAATGTTTGTCTGTGTATACATTTCTTATACAGACATTTAATTGCTTCATTAAATTTAGCCAAATTTGGCAAATAAAATGCGAGGGGCCGGTCATTTGGCATCGCTATTGGTTTCGTAACTGTAATTCAAATGTTTGACAAGTTGTTGCAACATTCGCAGTGCCAACAGAAATAACAACAACAACAACTGACTACCGAAAGAAATAAATGCAACAACAACAACAACAACAACAACAACAACGAGCAAAGCGTGTTACAAGCCACGTACGAGACGCATTTTAGGCACAGCAATTATTTTAATGGTCAATTTATTTATTTGTTTGGCCTGTGATTTTTCGGTTTTTTTTTTCTCGACTTTTCCCTGAATTTGCCTTTTAAAGAATGCTTCCTCAGTTGGTTGCATTTGCATGAATTTCCGTGCAAGTCTTTTTTTTTTTGGCTTGGGGTCTTAACGTGAATGAAGCTTCGCTTGAATTGTTTTCATGTCATTTACCAGGAAGCGGATTTTATTTTTAATGGCCATTGGTATAAAGCGTGCAAAAGTAAAAAACGAAAGTACTTTTAAGATGGAATAATTCGTTTTAATGATTTTTAAAAATTCTTGCTGAAGAGAAACAAAAATTGTTCAATATTGGGAATTAAAAATGAAAATATTTTTTACAGGCATATTACCTATCATCAATTATTTAGTTTATGACAACAAAATTAAGCTCATTCTTAATACATAAAATCTGTTGAGGTGCACCCAAAACCACATTCCATTAGCATTTAGAGCATTAAGCTTAACATTCAATATATGCCTCACACCATAACTGCTACTTGTCCAATTCGGATAATACATTTTTATTTTTCTTAAAGTCCAAACAAGTTATTCAAAACTTTGTTCATTCTTTAGCCGCATTAATGCGCCAATTTTCAGAGATAAAAACTTGCAGCAGACACAAAACTTTGCGATTACTTCGGCTGCGAGCAGCCAAAACACGTCGAAACGTCTGAGTGAAGCGATATATAGAGAAAAGTAAGAAAATGTGCAAAAATATATACGAGAAACATGTCTGCCATGTGGGTTCATTCACCATGTTATCTAAAAGCGTGCCAAACCGAAAAATCGGACAAAAAAATAACAGATTCTGTTTCTTCCAATGGGCCACCAAACTGTATAAATTGCCAAAAAAGAAGGTATATATATGTTGAGATAAAATGCTGTCTAGCATAGAGGCCCAAATAAAACTAAAGGCAAGCCCTAAATTTGTTGTCTTTTATTTTGTTCCGTTTCAGTCTGTCTACTTCAATTTTTCGCTCGTTTATTTTTAAAAATTTTACGATGAGTTTCCACGTTTTGTGTGTTTTTTATGTTTTTTTTGGCAATTAACCGAGTGTCCGTGTTGGTTTTTGGGTGCTTGGGCGCAGAGGAAGTTTCCTGTCGGCTCTGCCCGATGGATTTTCTTCATTGAGCGATAAATATTTGATTGCCATAAATGTTAATTCGTGTAATTTACGACATGCAACGGGGGGGCAGCTCCCTCTTGCCACTCAATTTCGTTTATCAACTCAAATTACCCCGCCAAATTGGTATCCCGTATCCATCCCTCTCATTCCCACTGAATATTTTAACAATTTTGTTAGTCTCTCTCGTTGACTATCAGTCCTTATCAGTTGACAAGCATCTGGGTAACAGGTTTCGGTGCATAAACAATAACTCACTCCCCCCGAGAGGCGGGAGGAGATTCCACTGACCAAATATTTATACTAAGACTGATCTCCATCGGTCCGTTGTAAACAAGTCTGCTGTGTCGGCCGTCAATTGGTCGAAACTGATAAAAACGTCAAAGTGTTACCCCCGAGGCCTTCACCTGCCGCTTCTTCGATTGCAATCTACAACGATTCTCACATCTCCACAGGGATGGGGGAGCTCAAGTCAAGGAGGCCACGACCACGAAGCCTTTTCATAGTTCGCCTCCTTTATCGGGAACTCGTTTTGGCTCAACAGGCACCAGGAAATCAGTTCAGGAGCACGGGCTGCTCTCGAGCCGATTGCAATCAAGGTCTTGGACAGAAATTTGATGGGAGCAACATAATTCACTAAAGATAACTTATCGCCTTAATTCATGTGTGTCAAGTTCAGTGGCTCCTTAGCGGGTAATCGGAAGTGCATTATAGGATTTTTGTTCTGTATTAAGTTTTATTATTTTAACAATTAATAGATTTTTATAAAGTGTTAGGTTAGGTTATCTATAAAGTTCCAAACAGTTTGATAGATTACATTTTTAAGAAATATTTTATATCTTTTAATTTACACTTAGTACTTTTGATTGCTTATTAAGCTTAACTCCTCAAAAAAATATATATTTGTTTTATTGATTTTCGATAAGTCAATATATAATATATATAATTTTATAGTTATTTCGCTGTTTTGGGCAACCTGGTATCCAAAAAAGTTAATGCTCCGCTAGTAATTATCCAGCTAATGACCCACTTTTAATTGGATTATTTATTAATTTAATTATATTTGTGATTATCTAAATATCTTTTGAGTCGTTTTATTGTAGTTTTTTTAAATATTATTTTTCTGACTTGAAGTATTTGAAAACAGTTTAAATATGGCCAAGTATAACATTTAATTTAATTTTACATAGTTAGATTGTATTGCAATTGAACCTTGCGCTTACTTAGCAAGAGAGGTATAAATGTTGAATAGTAGTTTTAAATACGTATGTTTTTAAACAAATGGTAATAATATTTAGTGAGTATTTATTTATTTAATAGAAGGGTTTATATATAGCGCAGTCTTTTGCTCTCTCGCATATTATTAAGAGAATAAAATTAAAGAAAAGAAAAGGCACTTTATGGGAGTGCCACATCGTCTAAATTTGACAGGTTGTAATATAAAATAAATCTTTTTTTGTTAAACATATCATCTTAGTGTCTTAACATTGCTTTTCTCCCGATTATTTCGAAGTTTGACTTTTTCCGCTTTCTTTGCCACAGACTCTTTTCAGATAAGTACTTTTCCAAACTTGGAACCGTAACCAGTCCCATTCGTAGGCATTTTTCTGTTCAAAAATAACCTTTAGTAAGGTCTCTTGACTACTTTTTGAATACTTACCATACCACTTAAGTAGTGCTTGAACTCGGCACCCTGAGCGGACATGGTTTAGGATTGCAAATATATTCTTTACTAATCGAAACGGTAAGCCTCCTTTACTCGTTCGAACTGCTTCTCTGTTAATCGAAGACTGCAATGGAAAAAGCTTTGCTTTCCTAATTTATACGTTTTCCTTCACAGCATGTCCACGGATTACATTTATTTTTTCTATTTTTCCGCCAGTTACCATATGTTTAATGGTCATTGTCATTCCATATGTGGGTCCTTGAATATTTGCAAATCCCAGTAAAAGTCAGCAATTAGTGTGAAATGTGAAGCACTTAAACATAAGGTGGTTTATTAACCAATTAACTAATGAGTGACATTGACAGCAAATCGCTTAGTCCTTTAAACTTAACGAAGCAATAAAAATTATCCCAAGGAGTAATTTAAAATGTATGAAGAATTAAGTACTTAGAATGGTTTGGAATTTAGTTTTATTTGTTTCGAATTTATTTTCACATTTTCTTTCCAATCTCCATTCCCACTTAAAATCCCCTCAAAGATTAATTTTTGACCGGTCTCTTTCACTTATTCATGTTTGTTATCTTATCAGCTTGACAGACGCCGTTGTTGCTGTAATCGAATACAGGCGGCATTCAATAAGGAGAACGCACGCATGCGCACTCCTCTATCCACTCTCGCTGGCATTTTTGACTTCTTGTATTTTTGCATTTTATCAGCCTTGGAAAATCGGTGAAAATGAATGTGAGCTGCAGATGCTGATGCCATTAGCTACTTAGTGAGTTGTGGGTAAACAAGTGGCTTTGAAATTTGATAGAGTTGTTTTCGAGTAGGTGCTACATAGCAATTGCTCTCGGTAGATATCGTTGGTATCTGACTTGTCTGGTGGATTTGCCTTGGACTCGCGATGACTTGTCGAATAGCAGAAGGAAAAATTAAAAAAATATTACTATCCATACATATCTGGTTAGATGGCGCCATGTGGCTGCTCTAAAGTCAATGCGTCGTAATCAATTATACACCTGGCCACACCTTCGCCACAAGTCGCCCGTCGGAAAATTCAATTGCATGCCTTTTATTGATTTCTCATTTTGGCCTGGCTTGGTTTTTTATTTTTTTTTTATTTTCTGTGTGGCTTTTTTGGCCACTGATCTTCGGATAGGCGCAACATTTTCAGCGTCTCTCAAACACGCTACGTTTTTGGCATTTTATTTTTTTTTTATGCATTTTTAGTTTACAATTTTCCCAAATATCGTTTGTCAGCTGTGGCTGCCGGCCACGTTCAAAAAGAGCCACAGTTGGGCGGTGGTTTTCTGTTTTTTTTGTGGAGGGTTGCGGTTGGTTGACAGTCCGGAAATTTATGACGCGGCGATGGCAATGTTGGGTTAAAAGATTTTGCCAGTACCACACGGCATTAGCGGTGATATGAACGTAGCAGTTTGTTGGTAGTCACAGATGCAAAGATATAGTTATATGCCTGCGACGACGACTGGATAGAAACATCAGTTGGTGACAGAAACACTGACATTTGGGTGCGTAGATAATTTATTGCTCATTTGCCCATTGGCTATTAAATCGAAAGGCCGAGGTGTGATGGCAGTTGGGTTTATGGTGGGAATTTCTTCTTTTTTTACTTAAGGGGTTTAAATAAAAATTAATAAAAGAAATACTTTAAATAGTGTAAGCAGTAATTAACAAAATTGTCAAGTACTCGTAAAGATCATTAGGCCTGATTTTTGTTGGCAATATAAACGAATTTAACAGAAAATGATTATAGAAAAATATTATTTATGACAATAAAAATATGATGGTAGTTTTGCTTATGGTGGAAAATTTCATTCTATTTTTTTTGTGTATTTAAATTTTACCAAATAATAAAATAAATAATTCTAGTAACAATTAACAGTTTGTCAAGTAACGATATTATAAACATAATTTTCTTTAGCAACCATTGTCTATTTAAAGAAGATAATCATATTATAATAGGAAGTTATAATCAAAGTTCTTCAATATATAATTTCGTAATTTGTATCAATCCCTAAAAAATAAATCACCATTATAATAACATCAATTTATCAAAAAAGTTAAGATATATTTAGAAAAGATTACTACAAAAATTTATTTATATTCTTCTTAAACTGCTTAAATTAATAGCTTATATTTTCCTCATTTTCTCAGACCTATCAAATCTTCTCCGTGTGGCTAAAATCGGCCAACTCGCCCCGTCCAGCCTCGTGGCTGCTGGAAAAGTCCCTGGATGGCATTAACTTCGAGCCGTGGCAATATTTCGGACTGAGCGATGCGGACTGCCAGCGACGATGGAATTTGCCGGGACAGAATGGCAAATATGTGTTCCAGAACGACACCGAAATCATATGCTCCACTCAGTTTTCCAAGCCGGGTCCCCTGGAGAACGGAGTGCTGCATGCGTCGCTGCTGAAGAATCGCCCAGGAGCCACGGAGCAGAGTGAAGAGCTGATGAAGTTCATCACCACTCGGTTCATAAGGATTCGGCTGCAGGGAATGCACTCCACGGCCAATTTGGACAACAGTTTGGACTGGCTGCTGGACTCGCCGTCGCTGGAGAAGCACAGCTTCTACTCGCTGTCCCAGTTGAAGGTGAGCGGCCGCCTGGATTGCCATGGTCATGCGAATCGTTCGGTGGAGTCGCTCGCAGGAGATCCCCTGCTGCAGTGCATCTGCCAGCATAATACGTGCGGTTCGCAGTGCGATCACTGCTGTCCGCTCTTCCAAGATCGACCTTTCCGCCGGGGCGCAGAGTGTGAGATCTGCCAGTGCTATGGTCACGCGGAGAGCTGCTCCTACGATCCGTTTTTGGACAAGGGCATCTGCCAGAGCTGTGCGAATCACACGGCCGGAAATGAGTGCGAATTCTGCGCTAGAGGCTTCTACAGGGAAGCGGATGCACCGCTCACCGAGCCCTGTTTGCCGTGCTCCTGTGATCCTGCGCGTTCCACGGGTAACTGCCAGCCGGTTGGAGGTGGCTGTGAGTGCCTGGAGGGTTTCCAGGGCAGGAACTGCGAGGAGTGTGCGCCGGGTTATTATGGAGACAGCTGTAAGCGCTGTGAATGCGACGAGAGGGGAAGTCTACCCTCAAAGGGTTCCTGTTCAGGCGAATGCCGCTGCAAGCTGAATGTGGAGGGCAGCACGTGCTCCGAATGTGCTCCAGGTTACTACGATCTAAGTGAGGAGAATAGCGAAGGCTGCACCAGCTGCTGGTGCTCGGGAGTCTCCCAAACGTGTCACAGTGCCAAGCTGCAGACCTTGGCCTTCGAGACCCTCAACGATTGGAAGTTGACTGATATACAGAGAATGAAACCCATAAGCATACCCATGGATGCCGAGGAGAATCGTTTGATTTTCGCCAACGAACTGGACGAAGTGGAGGCCATCTACTGGCAGGCTCCATTGGGTTATTTGGGCAACCGACTGACCAGTTATGGAGCCCGGCTGCAGTTACTCCTTTCCTGGGTGGTGATGAGGGGCGATACTTCGGGAAAACCCACGACGGGACCGAATGTCATCCTGTTTGGAAAGAATGGCCTGAAGATTGCCTTCGGCGATGAGTCGCTCGAGGGACTGGTGGTCAGCATGAACGTTTCGCTGACGGAGGAGGGCTGGTATCATGTGCCACCCACGGTGAAGGACATCAAAACCAGACTGCGGCGAACCGAGGGCGGTGATTACCATGGGGAATCGGTGACGCGATCCCAATTCCTCTCCGTTCTCGTTTCGCTGGATGCAATCCTCATTCGCGCCGCCTTCCACACGGATCAGGTGGAAACGTACCTCGAGCGGGCTGTCATCTATTCGGGAGGCGTCGAGTTGGGTGGGATTGCCTCCAGCCGGGTGGAGCAGTGCCTGTGTCCCGCCGGCTACACGGGCCTCTCCTGCGAGGGCTGCGCCTTTGGCTACAAGAGGATCTACGAGAACACCTCGGACCACCAGATCCTCAGCAAGTGCATTCCGTGTCCCTGCAATGGACATTCGAACTCCTGCGATCTGCAGAGCGGAAACTGCGGCGACTGCATGCACAACACCTTTGGAGATCGGTGAGTTATAAAATAAATAAACTAGAAAGATATACAAATTAATTACCTAAAGTATTTTTGAACTTTAAGAAAATGTAAATAATGATTTCGACCTGTACTTAGAATATCTAAAAAAAGAAATGCTTTTACAATATTTATAAAATATTCATTGAAGCTTAGCAACATTTTAAACCATTTTATAATTTTTTTTAAATCTCCAACTATTTCTAAAATTAATTTTTTATTTTTTAAAATGTAACATAATAATGACAGTTTTTATATGTAAGAATTTTTAGATATTTCCATTTTTAATAAAAGTATGTGATTTCGATTATAATTCAACTTTTCTTGGCTGTAAAAAAATATGAATTTTAATGTTAGTTTGCTTTATTTAAAATATTTAGGGCCGTTTAAAGTAGAGTTAAAAGTTTTAACTTAAAACTCTAATTTACCATACGATTTCAAGGTTTTAACCCTACTTTAAATTTAACAAACGGACGAGAATAGGGCCCTTAGAATATTAAAATCAAGTAATATTTTAAACTTTTTGAAAAAAAAAGCACAAATTTAATTTCAATATATTTTTGTTTTTATATTTAGATTTGGTAATTTTTTAAATTTTTGAATTACTAGTATAGTGCAGACACAAACCCAAAACACCTGTTGAATAACAATACGATCCACACAACACAATCCACAAGTAGTGAAGTTATAAACCCGCTTACTGATTAATGTCTTGACTAACTCACCACTCCCAGCCAATACACCCACCATTCAGCCGAGACTGGACTCCGTTAAAATTTGAAACTAATTTATTTCCTTTTATTTTTCAGCTGCGAACGTTGCCAGTTGGGCTACTACGGGAATCCCCTGCAGGGAACCCCCAACGACTGCCGGCGATGCGCCTGTCCCCTGTCCGAAGACTCCAACAACTTCTCGCCCAGCTGCCAGCTAAAGAGTTACAATTACATGGATTTGAATCCCCAGTTTGAGCTTATTGAGCATGCCGAATACATTTGCACCCAGTGTCCGGAGGGCTATACGGGTGACCATTGCCAGGTGTGCGACGACGGGTACTTCGGCGATCCCCGCCAGCTGGGGAGCAGCTGTCAGCGCTGCGATTGCGCCGGAGGACCCTGCAATCTGACCAGTGGCGAGTGCATCACGTGCCGCGGGAATACGGAGGGTTGGCACTGCGAGCGCTGCAAGCTGGGCTACTGGGGTGATCCGGCCATGGGCTGTGATCCCTGCCACTGCCATCCGGAGGGATCGGAAAGTGGCCTCTGCGACAGCACCGATGGCCAGTGCCTGTGTAAACCCAGATATGGTGGCCAGAAGTGCGACGAATGCGATGTGGGCTTCGCCAATGTGGAGCTGCGTTGTCCCGCCTGCAGTTGCAATCCCCTGGGCTCCCTGATTCCCGACAGATGTGATCCGCAAACGGGGCAGTGCCAGTGCAAGGAGGGCGTGATGGGCGCCAAGTGCCACGAGTGCCGGGATGGTTACTTCGGCATGAATGGCGTGGATGCTGAGCAAGTGGATGATCTGCCTGCCGACGATGACGACTGGGAATTGGTTCCAGATACCGAGGAGGAAGATCCACCGAAGAACTCTGAATCTGGCGCGGTGGCCTGCGAGGGTAAGTACCCCCGTTGGGGAGCTCAAAGTCAAAAGTCTAAGAACAAAGGAATTCCACGAAATTAACGATAAATCGAGCGAGTGCACCTATGAAAAACAGATGTGCTAGAGGTAGTGGCGCACAGTAGTCCATCAATAACTCGGGGAACATAATTTAATTGGCGTTCTACTTTTAAGTGAAGCGCTTCCCATGATGATGCTCTCCATTGGCCTCGATTCGAAGAGCTTAATGCACAAATCAGTCAAGTTCTGGGCGGGAAGTGCATCTGTTTTGGGGTACAATAAAATGTAGGATCGCTAGAGGCATTATAAATAGATTTCAGACATGTTTTGCCTTCTAATGGTTATCAGCTTTAAATGATATTTCAAATTAACCAAATCTTTTTATTGATTTTAATCATTCTGCCTTATATGCAACATTAGTTTCTGATATAATCAGTCAAGTTCTGGGTGAAAAGTGTATCTGCTTATAGGGGTAATAAAATGTAGGATTGTTAGTGGTAATACAGAAAAATTTCAGATGCTTTTTGCCTTTTATTGGTTTTTAACCATCAATAATAATTGAAATTAACAAAATCTTGGTTTTTTTTAACTATACTTCCATGTATTTTATTATATTATATTACTATAAAAAAATAGTGTTTCCTATAATATATAAGAACAGGTTCTTATAAAAGGTTCATAAAAAGTAAAATTAAAAAGAAACTATTAATTTAAATGATATTTTAAATTAATTCTTGTTAATCGTCTTAAATATTCTTTTTTAAATACCTAACATTAATTTCTTATACAATCAAAACTTCAGGCACATTAAGCATTGTTGAAATATCTTGGTACTTACAAATCTCAAACATTAGGCCACAAAATTACAATTTTTCTTGAGGCCATCATCGCTTCAAATTCAACTCATCCATCATACAAAATGCATTACATACACTCCATTGTAATGGGATATTTTTGTTAGCCAGTTCTCCTTGAAGTGGGTTTTTCTATCTTTTTTAACACCATTTACAGACCGGACAATGGGCAAAAACCCGTCTCAAATAACCAAAAGCAAAAGCGGCTGCCAAGATGGTTAAGGTGGCCTGGTGTGTTTATTGAGTTGTACTTGAACAAGAACTCGGATTGCATAACACCCTGAATGGCTATTCTTTTCATTTAAATTTACTTTTGTAAGCGATCTTCTCTGCGGTTTTTCATCTTGCTTTTTTAATTGTTAGCTAGTCATCTCCTCGTACTTTGGGTAGTTGCCCCCTTGGTTATACACATCTTTTTTAATACCTTTGGACTGCTGGTGAGGTTTTCATTTATCCACAGTCATTCTACGAATTTTATGGCCTCGAGGATTTTACAGGAGTCTGAACTCCTGGTGTTTTTGTTGACTTTGGAATTTCCTAGAATTCGTTAGGTTTACAAGAGATATTAAAAGCCGTGGTGTAAAATGTTAACTTTATTACCAGAGAATGTGTAGTAAATGGGGTTTCAGCTAAATAAGAAATAACTAAATAAAATGTTTAAAATCGTTCGAAATGATTTATGTATACTAAATCGCATTAAAAGTTCCTTATTAAAGTCCAAAGTGGCAGTATTAAATTATTAACATTATTAACAAGCTCAAAGTATTTTCATTATTTTTTTACAAAATATTTTGTAAATTGACATTGTTTGTTCTATAAAAATTAGCAATTGTGTTTAACATCTTGGAAATTATACATATATGCAATTTTAGTTAAAATTCATTAATTTGAAAATTAGTAATTATAATTTTATTTACTACTTATTAATACAATCTTTTACGATAAAGACTTCAGTTGTCGAATAAAAAGTAGGATTTAATACCCTTTAAAGAAAATAATTTAATTAATATTCCTAAAGTTGTCAAATAAAAAGTAGGAATAAAACCCCCTCCATATTTAAGTGAATTAAAAGAATAAACCCTAAGATTCCGACTTTAATGTTTAATAGACCTAAAGAAAATGCCACTGGCTATAATTCCACATTAGCATGTCGACTGGGACAGGCACTTGGCTTTTGGCCAGGCCAGAAACCTCTCAAGCCACCATTTCAAACAGTAGCACGTGCGTTTGGACTTGCGATCGCTGGGAATTTATAACCCACGCATAAAATTGTGCAGCTATCTAAGAAATTAAGCAGCAAACTGCGAGATACATTTAGCCGCTGGTCATATTTTGTAATCAGTTCCATTTGCCGCTCACCAAGCAGCAGCAGTAGGAGCAGACACACTTTTGTGTTGACCACAGACTCTCCGGCACAGACTGCATGGAGCCACCGCGCTGGTCTGGTGTCCAGTTTTAAGACCAAACCCAAGCCAATCCAAGCCAAGCCAGCCACTTTGGCAATTCAAGCCGAGCGGCATATTTTCATGGGGCTGCGACTCTGAGGCTCTTGTGCATTTGCTGTTTGTTGTTGCTGCTGGCTGCGTTGACATTTTTATGGACATCGGAATGCTCCAACCGCCGACGACTGAGTCTCTCAGGCGGACCCCGAAAAAAGCCACTTTGACTTTGCCCCTTTTTATTTTTTTTTCACCGTTTTTGCTTCGTTTTTAGCCAACTGATTAGCGAAACAATTTCAAATATTTGTGTTAAATAACTTGACAATTAATTGCATTTCGTGGATGCGGTTGCGTTTGTTGTGGTTTCGATGGGTTTGGCTTTGGCTATTCGTATTTGGGGATGGGGGCTCCAAGCCAAATGAAGTTATACGATTTGAGAGCAAATTTTATTGTGGCATTGGAGCGGTGACTTCAAAGAAGTTGAAGAGGATAATGAAAGAAATTACTTTGAATATTCCTAGAAAAAGTAATCAAATCAATTTATATTTTTATTGTGGTTATTATAATGGAAACTCTTATACAAAATGAAGGAAAAAAACTAAATATTTGTAGAAAATATTACAATTATTTAGTAAATATCCCCTAAAATTTTCATCTCAATCAGTCTGCAACAAAAGTTAATATTAGCACATGTGCAAACAATTTGAAACGACTCAGCTGCCAACTAGGCCGAATAATTACAAAATTATACTCGCCAAAAAGAGGAGAAAAAATTGTAAGTGGCGCAGTATCTTTTTCAACAAGCTGCTACCACGATGGGACTGAAAAATTGCCATGAAAAAAGCATCTTTATAGACAGAGACGACGAGCCACGACTAGTTAAACAGACAGACGGACTGTCCAAGGTAATCAAGAAGCGTCTAAATGGACAAAATGGAGCAACAACCACTAGTCAGTCGCTCGCTGTCAACGCATCATCATTCGAAATGGAGCATGAGCTAGAGGATCTCCGATCCTCGGAGGCAATAAATTTCAAATAATTTCCAAGCACGGCCAAACAAATGTGACATAAATCGTCTGAGTAACGGTAACGGAAGCATGCAAAGCCAAAACATTGACACTAATGAATGTGGCCAACACAAATGTAATTGTCCAATGACAATTTGTTTACAATTGCCAATGCAAAAGCCACATATATAGGAATTTATTACTTTGGGAGATGAGAAACTATCGGTATTGCGACTAGGATATACCCTATACTTATTTAAGTATAATTTTTAAGAAATTTAATCAATAAAGTTAAAAAGAAAATTATTACATATTGCTAGATATGCTATAAATAGAATTTTTAACGTCCAGCGTTGACGACCTATCAAAATCCTAAGAAGTATTATATATGGTATTCTAAAATGGGATAAAAACAACTTGTTCAGAGAAAGAAGACTATACCAACGTATAGGACATGCATGATTAAATGAAAAACTGTCAGTGAAATATCCTAACTTTATTATATTACTAGATTTTTAAATTGTTTCTGATTTAAAGATATTTTTAATGTATTCCAAAATATCCGACTAATGCGGAAATACCCTCATCAGAGGTACATTAAACACCACAGAGGCTTTCAAACTGTAACCGGGTCATTATCGAAAACACTTTTCGCTGAGACGGGGAAGCCAGAAGTTTGGCATTTTGATTTTCTAATTTATGGCCCAGACTTTCGCTCCAATCGAAGGCCTGTGTGCCTGTCTCTCGAGTGCCTCCCCCCCTGTAGCCCCATGCATCCCCTCATGATCCCAAATTGTATCTATATCTAGTTGCCTGGTTGCCATGTTTCGCTATCGCCAGCGTCCATGTCGTCGTCTGCTTCTCCTTTTTGGTCGTGGTGTGATTTTAATTGCTCTTACAAATGTTCTTCGTCGCGCATGCGCCGCCGCACAAACTTTTCGAGTGCAAATCTATGTAGCCCAGGTTTTCAGGCTGCAGGAATTGGGCAAGACAAAAGCCGGAGATTTATAGCCAGGCAGCCATATGTTTTTGGAGAGGGAATTTTGTCCTATTTTTCGGGGTATATACTGCATGCAACGTTTTCATTTTAGCCAGCTCTCGTGTGGGTAGAAGTTTTAGAAAGGCCTTCTTGTTGGTTTAAAAGATTAAAAGGTTACTTTGGGCTCAAACGCTGGAAGATACTTTCCAAGTTTATGATGTTTTAAATATAATTATTTCCTTTTAAAGGCACATAAAGCACTTCCTCCCATAAACACTATCAATATTCATAAAACCATCTCTGTTGTCAGTTAACACTTCGCATCACTTGCTGCCACTGAAGTAAACAATTGATTTGAATATTATACCCACTAATCATTCGCCTCGGTGATTGCAAAAGCCCCCACAATCATCTATAAAATGCCACCCAAACGAAAAAACCATTATAAACCTCCAATCTTCCAATCGTTGACGAAAAATATTAATTAGAAAATAATATTCTCGCTGAGACTTGAATGAAACCCAAGTCAAGCGCATACAATAATTAATAAATTATTTCCAGTCAATAAACTTTTCAGTCTCTCGGGATTGCAACATATATTTTCGTTGAGACTGCAACTTGGGGATTTGGTGGGGGGAAAAATGGAAACCCGGCACCCCGCGGATGAGCAAGCGCCGCACCAAGATACTGGAAGCCCCATGTCAGTTCATTAGGGTCA